CAGCCCGCCCGCCAGCCGTGCTCTTTCTGAAAGCCGCTGGGAGCACTGGGTTTCGTCATTCCTCCCCCCGCCCCGGGGCTTCCAGTCACCTCTTGCTTTTGAGTCATACTGAGCTTTCACAGCATTGAGCTAATTGTAAAGCATCACCTAACTGCACTGATTTCTCCCAAACATTTTCAAAAGATAAGACTACCAGGTGTTGGCTGGCGATAAAAACTACCAGCAAGGAACACAATGTACTCTAATTAAAAATACCAGCAACACAAGCTATCCAAAGCAAAAGCTGGGGGGTACTGATGAGGTGTTGGGGATTTTTCCCTTTTGCTCCACAGAGACACACACAGAGGTTTAATTCTTCCACCACTCCCAAGGAGCTCGACTGCACCAAAATAATTGCGGCTTGGTTCATCTGTTTGTTCTTTCCCTGCGAGCAGCGTTCCTCCTCCCGCGCGTGCTCAGGTGCCACCTCTGTAAAATGGAAGACTTTTGGCGGGTTAGACATGACCTCTCTTGCCTTGCTGAGGCATGGTGAAAAACCTTGAACCGAACAAGGCTTGAGTCCATGAAGCAAGATTCCCAAAGCCTGTTGCCAGAGGGTTTACGTGATGAGTTCTGCATGCCACAGCATTTTTCCCTGACTCACTGAAAATCCTTATTAAGAAAGACCAGTTTCAGAAAGCTCTTCCTTCAGCCGCATTAAGGCTGCTTGCCGATTTCCTCCTTGCCCCCACCCCCCCCAAAATTTCAAACAAGAGAGGGAAAAAAGCATACATAAGGCAGCCAGTTCAATTGGAAAGCTTCCCTCCCCTTCACAAAAAGGAAAAAAAAAAACACCCAGAACATAGTTATGACATTTACAGCTCTGTTTTGGAAGAGCTGCAACGTGTAAGACGTGTTTGGAAATCAAATTCACAGCTGCCAGGCAGCCAGCTACAGTTTGCCCTATTAGGAAATAAAATAACCATATTTGCAGTAATTAAGACTGACGAGACCAAGTAATGACTGCAAGTATCACATCTGCTCCCTGTGAACGTCCTGACTAATCCGCAGGAATGGGTAGCCTACAGCAACCCTCCTCTGCACAGCAACGGCGAGAGCAGGAGCTGAGGCTCCTCGGGCAGCACCATCTCGAAACAGAACACCCAAACTCTTCCCATCTCCCAGGTCCCACACACGAGCACTGTTATCCCTTCTCCGGAGGGGCCTGGAACAGGAAGATTTCAAGACTTTTAGTTACATAATGTGGCAAATTGCTGCGCTTTTAAAAGCCCTGGATTGGCAGGACTCCAGAGCGGAAAGACAGAGGCTCACATTCATAAAGTGCTGCAAACGCCACAAAGTATTTCTGGGGCAAACGCTTTATGAAAGTTTCCTCGCACTGCTCCTTTTGGGGTCAGAGGGAGAGGCACGTCCCCTGCCTGGGCACCACGCACCCCTGCCTCCCTCGCACACCCCTCCAGCCCAGGGCTGTCGTGCTCCAGACGTACGCTCACTCGGCATCTGCAG